AGAGTTAAGTGCTGTCGATGTTTCTATTTCTTCTGTAATTCCCTTAATCGCCACTCTAGAAAAAGTTCATGATCTTGATTCATCCGATGAACACATTGATTATACGATTACCGTCATAAAATACGAGCTCATTCGCAAATTTTCGGATTTAGAGAATGAAATATTGTTTACCACGGCGACCTTCATTGACCTAAGATTGAAAGCAAAATTTTTTAAAAATACGTCGACTAAAGAGCTTATAAAGCATATTTTTTATTTGCTCAGAGACAATCAAACCGACATATCTTCCAATTAACTTTACCCATGATTAGTTTACTTATGGATACGAGTAATAGTGAAGAAGATGACATGCCTCTTCTTAGTTTTCAAAACCCTGTTCATTTTTTAAACTGTAAAACTGCCACAGAATACTCATCGGAAAAACGCGTGGCAGGTGACGTCGACCCTTTAACATGGTGGAAAGTACACAAGGGAAGGTACGATCTTCTTTTTCCTGTACTACGGCAATATTTAGTTATACCACCAAAGAGTGTCCCGAGCGAGCGCTTGTTTAGTGGCGCTGGACTTCTTTATACGCCACATCGAAACAGGCTTGAAGGAGAAAAGGCATCGAAGCTTTTATTTCTAAAGTTTAATATTCCTCTATTAAATTTTAGTTATTAAAAATAACAGCTCTCTGTTTTTACTTCTTGTTAAAAAAAACTTAGTAAAAATAGAGAATTGTTATTTTTTAATAAGAGAGAGCAGTATTTTTATTAACACAAAATTAATATTTTTGGAAAATATCTATAAGCAAATAACAGGCTGTTTATGTTTGTTTGTTTAAACTCTTTACATAAAAACACATAGAATATTTTTAGTTTGTAGTTGAATAATTCTCAGCTGTTTTAAGATGATTGTCTAAAATTAAAAATTTTAGGACAATAAAAGTTTCAGAGAATAATTTGTTTTTGTTTGTTTGCATTGCATTATTTATTTTGTATTTTCTAATTTTATAGTTTTCTAAGCTTGAAAAATAAAATTAATTTTCTTAATAAAAAAACTGAGACGTGAACAGATTTTTGTTCTATTAACCTAATCTTCAAATTATTTTTTTTTTATATTCATATTCGCAAAACATTCGCACAAATCTTGCATACATCATCATCTGTCAATCCCATCAGCTTCAAGTACCTATTGTTATATAGATTAATATAAAATAAAAGAATGTGTTGATATTTTTATTTTAATAATAACTCAAAAATGTGATACATAAAAATACATAATTAAAAATGTGGTTTCATTACAATACTATATGCCGTTGACACTGACGTGTGTCAATGTCAACGGCATATAGTATTGTAATGGAACCACATTTAAAATAATGTTCTTGTTACTGCCTTTGCAACGCCGCAGAAGGGTTCCGGTCCAATGAATGGCATTAATGAGCCTTGTTTGGCTACCTTTACCCTTATGACCTTCGTGTCCTGATACACAGGCTACCATAACCTTGCTACGTTAATTACTTACTTACTCCGTGGCGTTACAACCCTTCGTGGGCTTTAGATGACTCGACAACATGCCTTCACTGTTTTCTGTCTTGAGTAACCTCCATCCAATTCTTCACGCCCATAGTGCTTAGGTCACCTTGCTACGTTCTCTTAGTTTATTTAGGGCACCCACACAATCCCATACTAGCTTAGAATTGAGTGCCTGAAGCGCTGCCGGGCTATCTGTGAAGATGGCAATTGAACGGTGCGTTCTTTTCTGCCTTTCTATTTCTCCCATGCAGTGATGGATTGCTGTTATTTCCGCCTGTGTGGTTCCCCAGTACACCTTCATTGCACCAAAGAGCAATAGGCTTCGGACTTCTGCCCTTAGCTTCTTTAAGCCCTTGTTCCACTAGAATGTATTACTGCCCGTATGCTTCCGTTTTTTCTGGACAGTTTTCATGGTAAGTCGCCATAATAATTTCGCTCACCGTTTCTGTTGTCTAATTCATTTCCTCTAAGCCTTTAAACAAGTTTGTACTTTCCCGGAGATTTATACTGAGGGATTCTCTATATGCTACCCAGTTTGTATTTCTAGGATATCTGTATTTAATTTCCGATGGAAAAATCTCAAGGTCAAATCTGTGGTCGTCTGTGATCTGAACATGTTTCCTATTTTGAATATAAATTAAACCTTCGAAATTCGTTGGCATCACATCCAATAATTAGCTGTAATCCATTACCTAGGTAATATGCAACTATAGCATTTTTCATACAAAAAAGCTTGCACGTCATTCAAGATTTACATCGTCAGAACCCCACAGCGTTGCCAAAACCTTAGAATAGTTAGTAAGTGAGGAATTTTTAAAATGTCAACTCTTTGTCAAACTATTATATTAACTGTAAATACACTTAGTTTTAGGACTACTGCAACAGATTAAAATACGTGAGAAAACATTTTAATACAAAATTATATATTCGAAAATTTTAAACTTACCTCTTTAGGGCTTTAATAGTAAAACCGTCCCGCCATTATTTCTTGTTCAAAATAATCTATCTTATATGAAAGCTTATCAGCTTTCTACAAACTATTTATTTCATCTATTTATTTTATCAACTATTCAACTATTTATTTTATCACAATACACAATAATAATTATTTTTTAAAGCTATTAATCTAAATTTATTATGTATTTATAAATACAATGTATTAATATTATATATATATATATATAATATATATATATATATATATATATATATATATATATATATATTGTGATAAAATTTTGTAAGAAATAAAGACAAACAAAATTCCTACTCTAAATAAGCGGCAACAGTATACACTTTTACCACACGCTTAACTGTCAATAAAATTTGAAGTATTTACGTATCAGTTGCGTACAATTGTCTAATATATTTAATTAAAATTATTATTTTGTGGAATATTAGACTAGAGTTATTTCATAAAATTTATATTATTAAACACATGTTTTTGGTTATTTAATCAATATAATTCTAAAATTTCCAATATAATGATGATTACATTTTTTTGATTATTACACCATGTTGACGCCTATAAAAGATCGAGCAGTTTCGTATGGGTTTCATATTATTAGCTGTGTTAGGAAAATTTGAACTCTAAGGTTGATGTTCTGGAAATTTTAAATACGAGTAACGTCACTTTGTATAAATCGTGACGTGCAAGTGTTTTACTTTGGAAAATTGTATATATCAATTATAATCCTTTGGTGGACTTGAAGCCTCATAACCCGGAAAGTATATTGAACACACAAACAGTTTCTTCTCTCCTACTTCATTGGTTATGGTTAGAATACCTGTAACCATATTATCGGTGCAGAGCACCGGGATTACTCTACCATCTACACTATTACTGTGAATTATGCACGACCTTGACCTTATAACTTTAGGTGTGTATAAAACCTTATCTTGTTTTGCTGATAAGCCAGATTGTCCCGCCTATCCTCCAGGGCTCCTACAGGAGGACAACATTGAAGATTGGCATGCAGGAGCCTTATTTCTCTCTACACTACGAAGAATTGTCCGGCTCTGGTTTCGTGAACTTTCCTTCTTCTTCTCTGTGTCCAACGCACTCTTGAGTAGTAGTCCTTACGAGTGGGCTAGTTCCGCCTAAAGAAGGTTGTTCCTATTCCTGAACATTCATATGTAGGGAGGTTTCCCCTATTTCACTGGAGTGAGTTGCTACTGGCTTTTCATTCAGTGTTTTTGTGTTCTCTTCTTTCGATCGGAAAGTTAACTTTCTCATTTCGAAAAAAGGTAACACATTGAGTTCATGGAGCTTTTCTCGAGATTTAGAATCTATTGAGAAGGTCCATAAAACCCCTTTGTCTGATGATTTGCTTCCTCAGACTTTCCATGATGTGTCCTGAGCCCATAGTTACTTCTCCTTAGTCTATTAAGGATCCTTTTAGACTCAAGACGTTTTCCATCTTCATCCTAAGGATCCTTTTAGGCTCAAGACGTTCTCCATCTTCATCCTGCACGAAGACAGTGCATGAGTGCGGCTTGCGGATATGTTTCCCCTACAAAACCTTGCATTCTCCCATGCAGCTCTAAGAGCTGCATTCTCCCAAGGCATCAGGTTTGGAATCACCCCCTTCAGCCACCTAGTATCATCCGCATAGTTAAGTTCTAGGAAACCCGGCCTATGGCTTCAGGAAGCGAACCTGAGGTCCTGCTTCAGGAATTTCTTCATAAGCCACCAAGATGGCTTTTTGAACTGCCTTAAGCTTATCCACATACATCTTGGCTTCTTGGAAGTACTGTTCTGTATGGGGCAACCTTAACAGAAGTGGTAACTGCGCTGAAAGTCACATCCTCGGTTCTTGGCCTTTTCCCTTTGCATTGGCTTTCGGATCATGTGCTTATGTCTGAAGTTAGCCTTTTTGGACCTTCGGTGTTCTGAGTCTTTTTGTTTTGTCATGGCCTCTAATGATTTTGACTTTAATGACGTTGACATTTGCCCTTGTAGCAGCCTTGGTAAAATTGATCTTTGTAACAGCTCTTTTGGCTTGTGTGTAATATTGGCCTTATTTCAACAGCTTACTGATTTTGGCTTTTAGAGATGCCAGATAAGTATGGGACATGCAATGTTTAATGAGAGATAAGTGATAAGTGAGCAAAGTGATAAGTTGCTCGATACTGTACTTAGTTTCCAGAATGTTTAGGAATATTAAACCTAAAATTAAAATTAACATTATTACAAAAATGAATATAAATCTTTGTCAACTTCTGTCAAACTTATCGAGCTTGTCAAAAGTAGACAAAAATAGTTCAAAAAAAGAAGTGTATAATGACAAAGTGATACATCCATATGAAAATTAATTATACGGACTTGTTTTTGTTAGATCAAAATAAGAACTATAGGCTAAATTGACTAAACTCAATTTGTCCAAAAAATATTTGCAGTGGCAACAACGATATATATTTTTAAAAAATTTTTTGATTTTTTTATATTATTGTTATTAAGCATCAATAATTATTTGACAGGTGTACCAGGAAATGGCTTACCAGCGAACAGCTGAAAAGGCAGTCCAAGAGGAAAATTGTTTTAAAATTTTTATCTATAAGGAAGACTGTCGAATGACTATTGAACTCCTAGATACTGATTCAGATGACATTAAGAAAGTTGAAGATGGAAAAAAATGGAGCGATTACAAGGAACATTATGCCAATATTGTAGATGAAGCAAAGCCTAGATCACCTGTCTACTTACATCGAAATCTCAGGCTGTACCAGAAAAAAGTGGGGAATACGTCCAATAAGAACAGACGGCAAATTAAAAACCACCAATCAAATAGAGATGACGAATCACTTGGAGAGAATAAAAAGACAGATGGAAAAAATTTCAATATTCTAGATGCCATCGAAAGAAAGCTTAATGAAAGGACAGTACCTGTAAGAGATCATACACATCATCCTGGTTATGAGGTTAATGATGAAACAGAATGTAAATTTAATGTTCAAGACTCGAAAATTATGTTCACTATACAAAAAGATAGCTATCTATACAACATAAGTGCCTTCCACCGAGCAAGAAAGGTAATTGTTATTATATATATATATATGTATATATTTATTTTATTTCATGTCTTTGTTTCGCTCTGAACAGTTTTTTCCTTATTATTATGTATCCATATGTACGACTAACATAAAATATATATCTATAGTTACAAAAAATCTGACAAGTGAAAACTTTTATAGGAAGGCCCGGAAAACCTTTTTTATATTCAGAATATTATTTAATTTTATTGAATCTCAAAATACATTTAAAATAGTTACCGTTCTAGTTATCGAGAGTATTCGTTTAAAATGATCATAAAATGCAAAATTTAGCTATTTCAATTATAATTTAATCATTCAAAAGTTTATGGTAATAACCCGATAAAACTTATCCGGGTAACTTACTTATTAGTAAATATCTCACCTCTGTAACTTTTGAGACCTAAGACTTATTGATACAAAAACAATGGAAGACGTAGGTAAAAGATGTCAGTAGGAAGCCGAAACCCCAATTCAACTCACGAGATAGCGTAACAATATGAGAAAAAGAAAATCTATTGAAGTAAAAGGAAACGATTGTTACGGAATAGTAAAAGGAAACCCATGTGTTAGGTTTCCAGATTTAAATATGTGCTTGCTCTTTAAATAAAAGAGAATAGGAACCTGAAACTAAGAAGATTGCACCAAATTAAATAAGGTTCTTTGGACTACTGGGAACCTATATACCAACTTTCAAGACTTGTCAATAAGGACCTGTCTTGTCCTTAATTTTAACTTAATAATTTATGAAAAGTGAAAGACGTCAATAAATAAATACGCAATACATTCGTATAATTAAAATTATCAAAATTTTTGTAGTGTTTCAACTGTGCTTAATTACTGATCTACATTTATATTGATAAAATGCGGTAGGCTTTCACGGCTATCGTCTAACTCGTTAGACTGTTTGTTCGGGCTATTAGGCCGTTGTCTTCTGAGATTAGTTCTCGACGTTTCGCCAACACTAGGGGTTGGCATCTTCTGGAGATGTTACTGTTTCGCTTGTAAGCTGAAACTGACGCGGAGCCATATTTATATGTTCTACTCGCCTCCCCTCCATTGGTTTCGGCGTGAGGGGCGTGTCGTCGTTTGTATTAGCTTTTCTTTCTTGTTTGCGGGAAGGGTGTTTGTGGATTTTAATATTGGTATCCATGATTTGTTGATTTTTAGCCCTTCTTCTATCCGATTGAAATTATTTGGGTGCTTATATATTTCCACAGCTTCCCGATACAACCGTGGGTAGTACTGTGATGTTTTATCCAGCATCTGCGTTTCTTCAAATCGTATCCGATGTTCTCCGCTTTCCAAAGCGTGTTCAGCAACGGCAGATTTGTCGATATGTCCTAACCGACAATGGCTTTTATGTTGGTTTATCCTTGTGTTTGTGTGTTTTTTCGTGGTTTCTACATATACCATTCCACATGTACATGGTATTCAGTATACTTCCGCCGCGCGCCGTTGCTAATGGGTCGCATTTTGTAGGCTCGAAAGTGGTCTTCACATTGGCTTTTTTAAGTATTCGCCGAATTCTGTTCGTTACCCCAATATATAGGGCAAGAATGCTTTGCCTATACATTCTGTTTCTTCCTCCTTTCTTCTAGAGACGTTGTTAATCGCTTTACGTATTTCTCTTCTGGAATAACCATTAGAGGTGAGCGCTATTTTAATATGAAGAATTTCACTTTGCAGACACTGTGGTTCACAAATTCTCTTCGCCCTCTCCGCCAGAATTTTGATAATAACTTGTTTTTGGCCTGGATGATGATTTGAGTTCCTAAGTAACCTTCCTTTCGGTTTACTAACACATCTAGGAACGCAAGTTGTTGATCTCTCTCTCTCTCTCTCTCTCTCTATATATATATATATATATATATATATAATATAATATATAATATATATATATATATATTCGGAAAGAGTTCCTTCCGCGGTTAGTACAATGAAACCTAGAGCTGGATTTATATTATTGCTAAAATTAATATCAAACTCAACAGTCTTCCGGGTTGAACCGCGTCGATATTCATTTTGCCGATATCCATTTCGACACTACTACAGATAGTAGTGTCTGGGGCTCGGGAGACTGAGACCTCGGAAGCCCTGAGGAAGGCATCAGAGAGGATGCCGAAAGCTCGGCAAAATGGATATCGACGCGGTTCAATCCGGAAGACTGGTGAGTTAGTTTGATATTAATTTTAGCAATAATATCAATTTTAGCTCTAGGTTTCATATATATATATATATATATATATATATATATATATATATATATATATATATATATATATATTAGTATAATGGTAAGGTTGATTGAAGAAAAAAGAAGTACTTGTGACTCGTTTGGAAAAAATATAACACTGTTTTTGATGGGTTGGAGTCAATAAAAGGGGCTATTTGTTGACTATTTTTTACTCGAGCTTTCAATTGTGATTACAATTTTTATCAAGAGCTTCTAAAAAATACAAAATATCTTACAAAGTTGAACTAGAAATAAAAAATTTTTTGTTAACTCACCAAATAAAATTAGTTTTTTATATAAAACTACTGCTTAACATATTAAATACAAAAAATATTAATAAAAAAATGTCTTATTCTAATAAATGTTTCTCTGAAAAATTTTGATGAAGTTTCTTAAGAAAAAAAATTTTTTAAATTGTAAACAAAAATAGAATAGCTACAACCAGCCTAAATGGCATAAATACTATTTGTAGCTATTTTATTTTTGTTTACAAATTCAATTTTTTCTTAAGAAACTTCATCAAAATTTTTCAGAGAAACATTTATTAGAATAAGACATTTTTTTATTAATATTTTTTGTATTTAATATGTTAAGCAGTAGTTTTATATAAAAAAACTAATTTTATTTGGTGAGTTAACAAAAAATTTTTTATTTCTAGTTCAACTTTGTAAGATATTTTTGTATTTTTTAGAAGCTCTTGATAAAAATTGTAATCACAATTGAAAGCTCGAGTAAAAAATAGTCAACAAATAGCCCCTTTTATTGACTCCAACCCATCAAAAACAGTGTTATATATATATATATATATATATATATATATATATATATATATATATATATATATATATATATAATATATATATATATATATATGATATAATATATATATATATATATATATATATATATATATATATATATATGATATAATATATATAATAATAATATATATCCTACTATCATTTTGGCATCGATACATTATTCTTTTACCATCAATTTAGCATTATCTTGCAAAGTAGCATCTGTATATCGACGCTACTTTACAACACCTTAATAACTTTTTTCCTGTACTTGTTACAAGAATTTTAACCATCTCAATGATTAGAGATTTGATACCGTGTTGTTATTTTAAAATATCCGCTTTCTCTTTTTATCCCTTACTGAGTTATATAAGTTTATTCCAGGAAATGTTTGAATCTAAAATGATGATACAGTGAAAATATTATAAATATTTATAATTATAATTATCTGCAAATTAAAATATCGGACAACCCCTTCGTTAATTGTTCTCGTCTTTCGTCGTTTCTCTCTGCCGGACGTTGCACAATAATTAACCTTCACAGCTCGAGTGCTAACTATCGAATCCCTTTTAGGTCAGGCATGTGATTTTGTCTATATTTTTCTGCCCCCTTTCCCCGCGATGGCCTGGGGCGCCTTAAGAATATGGTTTTAGTGGTATCTCGCAGTGGCGTAACTAACAAATAAAACTATGCTAAATACTTAATATAAGAAATATTTCCTATATATATATATATATATATATATATATATATATATATATATATATATATATATATATATATATATATATATATATATATCCTTTAAGTCTTTGAAATATTAACATAAAAGTCAAGCATGCATCTTTCAAGCGATCTGTCGGCGACAGCCACTCAGCGGTTCTCGGAATGGTCGATGCGTCGTTGCAAAATCCAAACGCCTCGATATCGCTTCCACTGAGGTTCCTGTGTTGAATCGGACCCTAATATTATGTTTCGACAGTATTGGCGCCTTTTTTGTTTTGGATCCCGGACGAGCCCCCAAATTGTAGGCTTTGTTGTGTTGTCTAGGGTGTAAAATAAAGTTTTGCTTACTAAAAGTATTTATTATCGTCACTACAACTGTTCGTCTAGGTAATAATGTTCGTGCACAATAGCAGTATCACTCTTATTCGCAAATGTCTCGTGTCTATCGTCGTACCGTCGTTTATTACTCGATAGCGTCGTTGTGTATGATTTCTGATTTCGCACATACCGTCGTTAATGTATGTTATAGCACATACCGTCGTTTGTTTCGTCGCTTTGTATGCCGCACATACACATACCGTACTTTTGTAACCGCTCTCTCTCTCTGCTACGTCTTATCACGTCGCTCTCTCGTCGTCGAGTCCCCACCCATTTGCCTGAACACTTGGTTCCCAGCGCTCGAACAGTGGCGTAACGATAAGTTCTAACTTAAGACTAAAGTAACTAATTCCTACGCTCGGCCGTCCTGATCAGAATCCGCCTCGGATTCCGAGTGGTTATCAATCCACGGCTTCATGAACTCTGCGCATGTAGAGGTTTTAATTGGACCATCGAATGTCCCCACTTTAGCGACATCATAACGCTCATTAGCTTTAGCGTTCACTATTTCGTAAGGCCCCAAAAACTTTTTGTCAATTTTAAGGCCGGGACTCAATTGTGTACGTTTGATGGCCACCAAGTCTCCAGCGCAATACTTCCTTGCTTTTTTCCTTCTAAGGTTATAAGTTCTGGTGTTCTCTCTTTGTACCTTACTAATTTGTGTCCTGGCACCTTCTCGGATCTTCTCTCTGGCTTCGTTAAATTCCTCTACTGCTTCTTTCTCTAATAGATTTATTATAGCTAAATCTTCTTTATTTTGCCTACATATTTTATACCATTTGTCGCGTCATCTAGACTAAGTTTGGTTAGTACTGGTATAAGACTTCGGTTTATTCTTTCCACTTGTCCATTTCCGCGCG